GCCAAACTACGTATACAACAAGTCTTGTAAATCTTGTCATATTCTTCGAATTCATATGTAATGGTCCAAAAATTGACACGTTAAACGAAAGTTACATTAATCTAAACAATTTAAAAAGTCCAAAGCATCCACTCTCGGGATACGCTAGCAGCAAATAATCTTTTAACTCTTGAATCACCATTTCTCCAATCACTTTTCCTGATTAAATGCCACTTTATTCTTTTAATTTTTCCGAACCTAAAATAACATCAATTCTATCATCCGTCAATATCTGTCATTTTTTTGTACACATATTTTTATTTTATTGATACGAAATATCACGTAACGGTGTACTGATGTTATATAAGTTGTTTTCCTTTTGCTCAACAGCTCAAGTATCCATGACTAAACCCTCACATAAGCCTGTTAACTTGAGAAGAAAAGTTAAAACTTTAACGTAAAACATTAGGAAAACCCAACGTACGAACCAATGCTTCTCCAAACATTCCCAAGTCGTCAGCCACCCCATCCCGCCGATAGCAAGCAATTTTTCTTGTTGCCGGAAAAACCTCCTCTCTCTCATTCCTTTCATTCTTTTAGACCAAATTCAGATCTAAGAAACCACGAACTTACTTGCATCCATGGACGTCATTAATTATCGGATCAATATCTTGTTAGTACTTTCAAGTTTGAGCTTGTCTTTGGTTCATCCAGGAAATTGTATCTTTAAGACTTTTCCATAGTTCGTTTATTGAATTCTTCCGTTTCTAACAAATAAATATTTGGAATATCTAAATCTTGTCCAGCCACGAAGAACATGTTCTTCAGCCACTGTCGCAAAATGAAAGTTCTTCACATGAATCTTCATCTAATTCACAATATCAGCCAGCTGCTTGATGGAAATATGAATTGAAAAGATCCATACCAATGAAATTAATCTACTTAGGTATGCATGTGGCAGATTGCTTAGGGCTTCTCTCTTTAATCCACTGTGTTTTGGGTTCCAACCTCGCCCTTTCCATTAATCTAAATTAGAATAAAATGTCGTTGTAATAAAAAAAATGTATACATAGACATGCAGAAGAGAGAAAATTATAAAATTATGACAAGGGTATTATGATGATCATAAGCAAATGCCCTTACTAATGGAGGAGAGAGAGTTCGAAACTAATACAATAATTTAGAAAGAAGAGAGTTTCGAAACCGAAATGCATGAGTAGAAACCCAACACCCCTTCTACTAGTATATTGGACCAAATACATAAGCAAATGCAGTTAGTGACATAAGAGAACTTTGCGGCCTTTTATGTGGATAAGAGACAAAGCCTTGTTCGAATGGCAAGTAACGCCATATTTTACCAATTTTTTTCACTCCAAAACCAAACGAACCTCCCCATCCCTCTATTTGTACCCAAACACACCACGCCAATTATTAGGTGATGCCAATTACAAGTACTCATACTTGTTCTTCACCCCCACAACTCTTACTTGTACTTCATCCCACAAACCTAAATACACGCAAATCCCACATCTCTTAGACTCTTACCACCACAACCCATGCATCTTACTTGCTCTCCTTTCCTGTTTTCTTACCCAAACTCCTAATTAACCTAATTGCCTCCTAACTTCCCTAACTTTCTTTACTCTTTGCCTCTCCTCTCCTCTCTCTTTGACATCATGCTTATGCTTTAGTGCTTATGCCCATAATCATATTCATTGGGGTCTTGGACAACATGATGTATTAGTGATGTTGGTGGAAATTAAAGTTCGAGAAATTATCAAGGGGAGAATGACACGTGCAATTAACAACCTTCATATTTAATCTAGGATGCTTTTCTCATGAAGAGATTTTTCAGTGTGCTCGAAATATTAACACTTACGTCATATGTCATTATACAAGTCGAGGAACACTAACAAAAAAAAAAGAAAAAAAAAACTTCCTTTGACTTGCATAATAACATATAATGTATTACCCTGTATTCCAGCACATTAAAAAATCTATCCTCGTCGTGAATGGTATGTTTTCATAACGTTTTCTAGTAAATGATCACTATCGCATTTCATTTGACTCATTTCTTTTGGTGACAATATTATTATATTTTAAAAGCCTTGTTGGATGGCAACTACCGCCATATTTCCACGATGGTCATGTATAAATGGCACAACGTATCAGCACAAATTAAAAATTATTTATACAATTCAAATGATTCAGACTTGAAAAAAAATAATAACTGGTTAGAATTTGGAGTCAAATCCAGTTTCATATGGACAATGAGAGTTCCAATATAAATATAGGTTTTGGGGAAGAAAAGGAGAATAAGAAGATTGAGTGCGTTCTAAGATGGGTGCTATTATGACTGAATTTCAGGAAGGCTGAATGTGACTTCATTCGGTCCAAAGTGAGATTAATTAATTAATATTAGATGACTTTTATAATTTGGTTAAATTGTAGGACCAAGAGGAAACAGAAGAGGAGGAAAGGAAAAAAACAACAGAGAGAGTATGGAAGGAATAGATCAAAGATTGAAGAAAGAAGGGATTAAATAATTTAATAGTGTCGAAATCTTAAAGCTTTTTAGCTAAAATGGTCACTGAGATTTATATAACACATCATTTTGGTCCTTGAAATTTGAAATCAATAGAAATGATCAATGAGATTGTCCACTATCAATCATTTTGGTCATTCTGTGCAAAATTATGTTAAGTAAGGATCAAAATGATAAATATAACCTCAATTTAATAAACAATAGGCCAAAATGATTTGACAAAAATTAAGAGTATTTTGGTTATTTTATTCTTATTTAATGGAAGTTTTTCACAAAATGACCAAAATGATTGATGGTAGACAATCTCAAGAACCAATTCTATTGATTTCAAATTTTAAGGACCAAAGTGAAGAGTTATGCAAATTTCATGAATCATTTTGACTAAAAAAACCAAATCTTAAATAGTGCGTAGCCTCCTCCCCTCCCCTCCATTTGCTTCGACCATAATGGTGGTGATGAAGAGATTTGCGCACAACGTATGGGAAAATGGTTTGAAAACATTTTCAAAGGCTTGCCAAAGCTCTTAATTCAGATGAATTTCATAATTTCTTTGAATGCCAATGCTGCAGTTTTGGCACTCAAAGTGGGAGCTGAATTAGATTTCCAAGTCAATATATATCATAATTTAGTTGAATGTCAACGGAGTTCCAAAACAGGCAAATATAGTAGTGGATCAACACCTGTTAGCATAATTCAACAATGGGAAATGCCAGATTATACCTAACGCAGCTATCAACGGAAGATCACTATAACTTCCTGTCGTTTACACGTTGGCGGCTTCGGTTTTTATCCAATTTTTCTTTCTGATAATCATGGTTTTTATTAATTTTACTAGCATTTGCCTACACACTTTTGGTGTATGAACATATTCTTTTAGAAAATGAGAAGAATAGAGGGAGAGAGAGAACTTGGGGGAGTGGGAAGTTTTTGGTTATGGTTTTTTTTTTTTTTTTTTTTTTTTAATATTAGAGGTTTTTAACATCACCTATAGGTGAGGCTACCAAAACAGTAAAATTGGACCTGTAAATTATTGCCTATCATTTTTTTTGTGTGATAGAAGATTAATTTGTCTTTTCACACTCTTTTAGTTGACAAAGAAAGTTTTATTAATTAGTAAAAATTAATTAGTTATGATTTGTAATCAGTTATTTCTATTCGGACCGCTTTGTTTGGAATTAGTTTGGAAAGCCATATATTTTCCACATTTGTTTTGGAAGTTTACTACTGATTATCGATCGTGGAAGTTTACTAGTCTATGATTTACACATTTAGAATGTATCTCAAACTCTTAAATGGGTTCGAGTAATTTCTTATTTGGGTTTTCATTACCTAATCTTTAAATGGTGTATATTGGTTTTACGGAAACTTTTTAATTGTAGGATTTATATTCCCAAATATATGTTGGTATTTAAGGAGATTTGTTTGGTGAATTGGGAACATCATCACGTAGTGTTATGATTCCATTCAAATGGTAAATTAGGATGTATTCAATTGGGAATTTGAGAGATTTTAATGAATTTATAAGTCCAAGGATTTTGATAGAGTTTAATTGATTTCTAAAGAGTCTATGTAAAACTTTGAATGAATTCCCTCAAAGGAGAGTTGAGATTTAAGAATGCTTAAAATACACAATGAATTTTCTCGAATTCCCCAACTGTTTAAAATCTTTAAAAATCAATTTGTAATTGAATATACCTGAAATATTATAAATTCTTTTAAAATCCTGATTGAATACCCTTAGTTAACCTAAAAGAACAACGGAATTGAATACGGAATTTATTATTTTTAAACTCTCAATCATAGAAATTAAGAAATGACACCTATTTACATGGAATTTGAACTTGGGATTTGGAGGTCCCAAATTCCAAGTTTTTTTTCCACGCTGGAATTCTAAAATTTCTAGTTTATGAATCTAAACAAGAGAATTGGTGCTTGTCAATTTATAAATTCTGACTTTTACCAAAATTCCATGTTTATTTCCCTCATCCAAACATAGTGTTAAACTTAGAAAATTATTTAAAATTATAATTGAATACTCCTGAATTTATAAAAAAAATAATAAATAAAATCTTTCAAAATCTCAATTGAATATAAAATACATAAAAATTTCTCGCGTGTTGGTAAACCAGCACCGGTAACCAAACTAAACTCGGCCATTCCATTCATATTTCGTCATATATATGTTTCTTTAGTGGATAGAAAACTAATTGTATGAAACCAGAGTCGGCTACCTGCCAACTAAATCCTTTCGTCTCAACCTCCTGCTGCTCAATCTCCATACCTCTCTGACTCGTGAAGATTCTCTCTAAGTCTCAGCCGTCATTGCTTCTAATTCTCAAAGTGCCTACCTTTCTCTCTCTCTCTCTCTCTCTAGAAAGCTTTGACTACGCTTCTATAAATATGCATTAGGCCTTCACGATTACATCCCACATATATATCATCCAAACGTCTGTCTTGAACATCTGGAATTGTGGACATGCAATTGTGTCTGTGTCAAAAAGTGAAAGTTACAATGTTTTCACAAAACCAGTTTCTCTCAGTACTTCTCATAATATTAGCCTCATTTCCCTTCTCTTTTAGTAGTGACCTAGGGAACCCACTAGTTGTACTTGATCTTCATCGTCACCATCGAACAAGAAGGCTTCAATCAACTTCAGCAGAGAATGTTACTGTAAATGTGGATCATTTTGGAGCAAAAGGAGATGGAGGGGATGATACCCAGGTAACCCAGTTGTACGAGGAAAGCCGTAGTCGTAATAACCCTCGAGCTCTTCTCAAGAAGATTATTTCTTTATTTTCTTCTTTTAATGACGCTATTCGATCACATTGTTGATGATATCTCTAACAACTAACATGCATGAGAGTTTAATCATGAGTAGAATGAGGGTTCTTAACTGGTTGTGGTTTGATAATTATAATTGTACGTGTTTTATACAGGCATTTATGAACGCCTGGGAGAAGGCTTGTTCTTCTAAAAGAGGTGTTGAGCTTGTGGTTCCTAAGAATAGGGTCTATCATCTGAAGCCAATGAATTTCTCCGGCCCTTGCCAATCTGATGTCACGCTCAAGGTGAGTCACATATACCATATTAAATGCACATACATAACATGCAAACTGTATAACTGTATATCCATCTACAATCGACCTAATATACTTGTTTGGGTAGAATCATATAGTTGAATGGTGGGGATGAATATAAAATATAAATACTAGTATAAAGAGTATATATGTACTATACGTTTCGTAGGCCAAAACTCAGAGAGAGAAAAGAGAGATGGACGAAAAGAGAGAGGAAGAAAGGTTAGAGGATTTTAGAGAGAGTTACTTGCTTCCTAGGTAATATAATTACAATATAAACAATTGTGCGCGGCATAGTGAATACGTAACATTACTTGTATATTTTACTATTTAGATTTTATATAAAAAAAAAAAACGTATCTGCTCTTATTAATTGGATTCATTTTACTAGATCTATGGAACCATCAAAGCCTCTACCAAACGATCAGATTATACGGACTTACGGCATTGGATTTTGTTTACAAATTTGACTAACTTCAGAGTTGAAGGTGGTGGCACCATCAATGGCAATGGAAGGAAATGGTGGCTAAACTCATGCAAAGTTAACGAATCCCTTGTAAGTTATGCCATTACTAATGGAATTACTTGTTGTGCATGACTTAGAAACCCTTTTGGTAACTATTTGCTCTTATTCAATTGTTCATAATCATTTTAGTTTTTATATTTTAAAAAATTAAAATTTATTTGTTAACGATTTTTTTATTTTAAGATTCAAAAAATTGAAAATTGAAAACAAAAATCAAGCCAAATTTTAAAACCTAAAAATAAATTCAATCATCTTTAAAAGTCCTTATTATAAAATCACGATACATAAATATCTTTTTTGCAACAAATAATAAAATATAAGATATTTTAGTTGTTAAACTGTTTGTAATTGGTAAAAGTATTACGAATTGCCTATTTGTTTGCTAAAGTTAATTCTAAATGACAATTGTGTTAGTTAATTTTTTTAATAAACTTGTCAAAAATCTTTTTTTTTTTTTTTTTTAATTTAAACTTTGAATACCCATTTCTATATGCAAAGACTAACAATATTTTGTTTTCTTTTGTGGAACCTTCCATTATCTTACAGCCTTGCACGCTCGCACCAAATGTAAGTTTTTGGGACCTATTTATTTCCAAGTACTAATGATTATATCAAACAAAGATTACATTTCAAGAAGAGAAACACTCTTAGGGTATTGAATTTTCGTTTCCATTAATTAAATACTGAAATCTGTATCGCTGTCTTCTTTTTCTTTTCCTTTCTTGTTCTTGTTCATGAAAGGCCGTGACTTTCTTCGGGTGCAACACTTTGGAAGTAGACAATGTGAGGTTCCGAAATGCCCAGAGAATGCATCTATCTTTTCAGTCGTGTGTGAATGTAAAAGCTTCGAATCTTATAGTGACCGCACCAGGCGATAGCCCAAACACAGATGGAATCCATGTCACAGCAACACAAAATATTCGGATAAGCAATGTCCTCATTAGAACAGGTATATTTAAACTCTTATTTTACTAGACTGTCAATTTACACTATAACTAGTAAAGTGACCTCTTATTTGAATGTGTCTTTGAATTAGTAATCTAATCTAAGCATGGACGGAGGCAACATATGCTTACTGGGGACAATGGCCCCTACTCAACTCTTTTTACCATAAAAAAATACTCTAAGTACAAGTATAAATTATCTGTATACACATAAATTATCAGTCAAAACACTCAACTTAAAATACCCTCTCGCATTTATACTTTTCTTACTCTCTCTCCATTTCGTGCCATGTAATTTTCCATTAACTAATGGTTACAATTTTACTGTTCTAAACACCAGATACCCAAAATCATATTGCTGGACAATAAGTTGATAGTATGGTATCAAAATATTAATTTAATTTCATCATTCAAAGTTTGCCTCACTAAAAAATAATTCTGGCTCCGTTCATGCTGTTAATTTACACTATAAATGGTAAAGTAACCTCTCCTTTGAATATGTCTTCTAATTCGGTAGTCTAAATTAAGTCCAACAAAAAAAATTAGTTAAGGATGTTCTAATAACGTAATATCTCAAACTGTTATAAAGCACCAATTATAAATTTTGAAAGAAATATTAATCCACCAAAACTAATATTACTTATGTTTTCTTTTATGTTATTAATGAATTGAAGGTGATGACTGTATTTCGATAGTAAGTGGGTCAAAAAATGTTCGAGCTGATGATATAACCTGCGGACCAGGTCATGGAATTAGGTAATATTCCATCAGATACATTAAACATGATATTAATTTTTCGATTATCTTGTACAAAATAATTTCATACTTATTCTGGTGATGTCATATTGCAGCATTGGAAGCTTAGGAGCTGGAAATTCACAAGCAGAGGTTTCAGATGTGGTGGTTTCTAAAGCCAAAATTATTGGCACCACTAACGGATTAAGAATAAAGACTTGGCAGGTAAGACTTAATTTTCAACCATATATGTGTAAGACCGGGAATGCAGACACACATTACACATACAATGCAGTCAATTAACTTTTTGACACAGAAAAGGGTTTTCGTTTTATTTCATGTACATGTGTATAAATCAAATGACACATATTGGTCAATTTGTTTGATAAATAGGGCGGGTCTGGGTATGCAACAAACATCAGATTCAAAAATGTTATGATGGCCAATGTGAGCAATCCAATTATCATCGACCAATACTATTGCGATCAGGATTCACCATGCCAAGAACAGGTAATGCACGGTCTAATTTTACATTTTATCCACAAGATTCTATTAAACTATCTAACAGTAAAACATAATTTGTAAGTTATTGTATGGTGGAAAAGTTAGGTTAAAATATCATCATTCACTCAAGACATACATAAATATTACGACGAAATGCATTTTGAGAAGTGTTAAATGACTTTTTTTTTACGTACTAATAATAACGCCTGTAGTAGTACACATTGTAATAGCAATCATTTTGTGCAGGCTTCAGCTGTGAAAATAAGCAATGTGGTATATGAGAATGTGAAAGGCACAAGTGCTTCAAAAGTGGCAGTGAAATTTGACTGCAGCAAGAGTTTCGGATGTCAAGACATTTTGTTAAAAGACGTAAACCTAAGATCTTTAGCCAATGAAATTGCCCAAGCTTCGTGTGAGCATGTCGATTTAAGCCATAGAGGAACGGTTTCTCCAAAATGCTCTTCGTTAATTTAATGAGTAAATTATAAAATTGGTTCATGAACTTTCACCATATATAGTTTAGACTTCGTCTTTAAGAATGTGAAAAATTGGTCCTTCCATCCGAAATATGGTGAAAATTCAGGGATTAATTTTATAATTTACACTTAGTTTAATTGATGTTGTGGGGAGGTGGGGATTTGCATTTGTCTTTATTTGCACAGTTATTATAGTATTGCCAGAATTGAAACAAATTTATTGTAGGCTTACTTGTAATTAGTAATGAAAAATAAAGTTATCCCATTCAAGGTGAGGATCCCAACGTGTTCTCGTTATCTAATTACAACAACGAGAAATAGACTAATACGGTGTTGCTAAAGAATAATTTGTGATGACTAAATCAATTGCTGAAAAGATAACAATTGCGAAATCCACCCTAAAGGTTCGTTAGACCTCACATGTTGGGAAACAGTTGTGAAATTTGTGATGACTAAATCAACTGCTGAAAAGATAATAGTTGAGAAATCCACCCTGCCAATTGACGTAATAGAAAACCACACCCAACGCATATTGATGCAAAATCCGCTTGGTACCCAGTGTTTTATAACCTGGATTTCTTATCACAAGGCACTGTTGTTCACGATGTGAGAAACCCGAGCCATATTGCTATTGGAATAGTTGAGGGGTAATGTCAACGTGTTGCAAGAGTTATACGAAAAATGGTTCAAGCTGATAGAATTAACGTCCTACGTGATTACAAGGCTGTTGTGTTGGGCAAAATTGCAGTTAATTCAATTATTGACATGAAATACAGCATGTTGACAATGATATCGGAACTGTTTGAGTTAGTTCATACCAACTTTGAAGATGTGCAAGAGGTCATTAGAATGAACAGGAGGGTTGGACCTCACATTGATTTGAATCTCGGAATTGGAGGGCCGGGTCCTACCAAAGACTTGTACTACAACAAATATATTCTCCACATATTCTCCACCATTAGGACTTGAAGGAAGACTCGGAAGTAGTTCACAAAATCATTAAATTGAATGGTGAAAGTATAAGTTTATTGCTACGATGATTAAGAGGATGGGGACAATAAGAAATAAGAAGATTCCTATATTTGAAGTTTTCTACAAAAAGAATACAAACGATGTGCGAAATTCAATAGCAATAAAGATTTGCAAATGTTTGTTGAAAGAAAGATTCAATAAATTAGCGATTTATGATGCTAAAGCAAGAAGAGAAGACATAGTACGATCCTTGCTCTTCTTGCTTTAGCATCATAAATCGCCAATTCAGTCGTATCCTTCTTTCAACAGACATTTGCAAATTTGTATTGTCATTGAATTTCGCACATCGTTTGTATTCTTTTTGAAGGAAACTCCGAATACAACAATCTTCTTATTTCTTATTGTCCCTATCCTCCTAATCATTGTAGCAATAAACTTGTACTTAATCTCACCATTCAATTTAATGATTTTGTGAACTACTTATGAGTCTTCCTCCAAGCCATAATGGTGGAGAATATATTTGCAGTAGTACAAGTCTTTGGTAAGACCCGGCCCTCCAATTCCGAGATTCGAATCAATGTGAGGTCCATCCCTCCTATCCGTTCTAATGACTTCTTGCACATCTTCAAAGTTGGTATAAACTAACTCAGACAGTTCCGATTCCGATATCGTTCTTAACATGATGTATTTCATTGCAAGAATTGAATTAACTGCAATTTTGCCCAACACAATAGCCTTGTAAGCATGTAGGACGTTATTTCTATCAGCTTGAACTCATTTTTAGTCTAACTCTTGCAACACGTTGACATTACCCCCTCAACCATTCCAATAGCAATATGGCTCGGGTTTCTCATGTCGTGAACAGTAGTGCCTTGTGATAAGAAATCCGGGTTATAAAACACTGAAAATTGGGTACCAAGCAGAATTTGCGCAATACGCGTTGGGTGTGGTTTTCTATTACATCAATTGGCAGGGTGGATTTCTCAACTATTGTCTTTTCAACAGTTGATTCACAAGGAAGAGAAGGTTAAGAGACGAACTGTACGTACATAGCAGACTCAGAATTCCGGCAATCTTTACAAGAATTGACAGCCGAAAGGCCACCGAAGATCTTTAACAGTGAAGAAAGCACAGATGATATCACAAGGAAGAGAAGGTTAAGAGATGAACTGTACGTACATAGCTCGGGGCCCATTTTAGTTGTCCATAGCCTGTTTCAGCCGGCCCACCAAGCGGGCTCTTAAGGTAACGGCACCAGAAGCCCAAAGACTAAAGTATTTTGAACTAATTCATGTTTGGGGAAACAATTATTAGGAATTTGTTACTGACATTTTAAAATTTTAATTGTGTACTCTAAGCTTTTATATTTATATATAAAAAAAAAAGTATTAAGAGGAATGCACAATTAAAATTTTAAACTGCCAACAATAATTTCAAAAATTATTATTGCTTTCGTGATTGTTACCTATTTCTCAAAAGGAAATAAACCATTTTTCTTAGTGCACAATGATTTAGGTTAACTTAATTGTAAAGTACAAATTAAAAGGTTGTTTTGCTTGATCAGGATCTTATTCGTATCCTCTTTGTAAGGATTCCAGAGATCAATGCATCATAACCGTTTATCATACATTCTGCAGCTAGTTTTTCGTTAGGACTGTTTGTGTTTAATTTTAAATAAAAAACTTAAAATAATTTCTGGCCGGTTTCAAGCGGGTGTGTCTTCAACAGCTGGCCCTCGCAACCTCCTCCCTGTCTGGTTTTGGTTGTCAAGAGACGGGCTGTCATGTCCACCAAGGAATATAAATCAAGGTTAGGCAGAGCTTAACTCTTCCTACTGTTTTTTGGGTGCCTTCGTAGCTACGTTAATGATGCTTCGGTGTTCCAGGCTCTGTGAGGGGACCTGTTGTATAACGCTGTATTGTTCTATTGTTCATTTATTTTGCCTTATCCGTGGTAAAATAAAACATCTTCCCAATTCCTGTAAAATCTCTTTTGCCATTTTGTTTTACCATAGATAGTTGCTTGGAAGTCAATCCATTGTGTAAGGTGTTCACTCTAGATGACAAAGATGTTTTGATCTGATCTTCCATGGCTGCAACCTCTCCCTGATTGTCAGTAGCTACAAAGTGATTGCCGGAGAGTTGAACGCTTGGGCTGCCAATCACCGAGAACGCAACCAAACCGTCGTCAAACAAATTCAAGATTCAAGAAGCATGATTATTTCTAATGTTTTGAGAAAGAACACAGAAAGATTGGACGAGTCTCGTGTCCAAGGGAACACTGGACTATGATGATATGATCCTCTCTGATTTAGTCCACACACCCAGGCTTAAAGTTGCCTGAAAAACAAAAAAAATAATAATCAAGAAGCTTGATAATTTAACAAGATTATTTATACGACACATGATGCAGAAAATTAAAATTCCTATCATTTCAAAAACTGAAAAAATAAGCAACTGAAATCTCGTTAGGAAATGCTTTTAAAATGACTGAAAGCTCTTATAAAGAAATCGTTTTTGAGTTCCAAAAGCACTTGAAATGTTTTCTGCAATGTTTGGAAGTATTTTCAAAATTGGTTTCAAAAACATTTTCACCAATTTTAAAGACACTTCCAAACGAACTTAAAAAAGTTGTGAAAGTGAAGATACATACAGATAAGAAATTAAATGAACAGAAAAGTGCTAACCCCAAAATCCCATTGTTCTTGAGAGCAATTTCACCCCTAAAGACTTTGTGCCAGCACCCATCACATTTATCCACTCAAGTGAATAGTGATGATAGACCTCAATGATAGGCCAAAGCATCTCCACCCCTAAAACTAAATAGCCTAGTCAATTTTATTAAAATATTATTAATTTTTATTATAAAATAATAAAAATTAATAATCTGATTTTTAATTTCTGAGTTTCTCCCCACAATTGCTCCTCGGACCAGAGCACGCCAACCCATCCCCCCCCCCCCCCCACCAATCTCCACCCTCCATCAAATCCCCACCTCTCCTTCACTCTCCGCTTCCTCGCGGTCCGACCCGTCCCAAATCGGTTGACATTGGCGCCCGGGCTCTCCAGCTCCAAACCCGTCGCCTCTGGACCTACGTCCTGACCTTCAGCTGCATCGCCAGCTTCAACCTGACGTCATGTAGGCCGGTCCCAAGGTTTGTCAATTTTGGGCTGGCCTGGAGACCAGTTTGGGTTGGGTGCCAAGCAATCTCATGGACTGGAGAAACTTCCCTAGGTGCTGGGCCATTTTTTTGGCTGTGTGCCGGCCTATCCCACTCACGATGGAAATGCTCTGAATCCTTGACTCGCACGACATATGATGTTCGTAGGCTTTCTCTGAAACCCTAGATAGACAATGCCTCTCCCACTAGCACCACCTCGCACGGCACCAATTGCGAGGATGTTAATTTAGATTTAAAACACTTTATTCTATCAAATATATTTCACCTTCGCTGAAATACCCCTCATAATTATTAGTAAGATATCATACATGGTATATAGTTTTGGTCATTTATCATATTTTTCAACAATATTTTTGGATAATTTTCACTTTATTACCTTCAAGTTTCACAAAAATCACACTTTACTAACTGCTAAGGCCACTGGGAATCTGCAAATTCCCACAACCATTGCTAGTCACCAGACATACTCTTGTCATTGGTTCGGTGCTGGTTTGTGCAACGTCGCGAATCATCCAATTCTTTGAGAGTTTATATCAATGCATCAAGAAGAAATGTGGTAGAGGATGAAGTTGAATATAAAACAGAATTTCCCTCACTAAACATATCCTTAACAAGATCTCTAAATTTGGAAACCAAAATGCTTGGTTGTGTTAATGGATCCTTCATTAAAATTCAATCCAATCCGATGGACTTTTGGTCAGTTCCATACATTTGTTTTTCCTTTGGAGTTCCATTTCATACTTTCTAGCATGCTTTCGAACTATGAGAATTGCAAATAATTATGACTGATGCGAAGAAAGGAGTAATTTCCCATTCGAAACAAGAGATCCTCAGAAGCATTTCCGATGAACAACAGAAGGTCCAGTTTCATCGTAGTCTGCTTTTGTTACATGTTGATTCTGTGGGAACACAACTTTGGCGAGTATAGCACCTCCCACCCACGCTGAATACATTGATAAATTCTCTGGCATATACTCCGGAGGCTGCATTGAACCCGGA